TTTTTTTTTTTTTTTAAGAAAGAGATTTCAGAGGCAACTGAGATTTCATATTAATTAATTCCATAAATGGAAAATTACAAAGATATGAGAATGTAGCGTTAAAATTTATTGTAGAATTTACTATTTCTTGCAGTAAATGAAGTAAATCATTGAATGTTAATCCTCTAAGTATTTATAATTTGTGCAATGAAATTAAAAAAATAATGAAAACTGGAAATGATAGATTTTACTTCCGAAAAATTCGTACATTTAATTCTTTAATTCTTCAAGTTGATACAATTGTACAAGGACAAATCGAGCAATAATTAAATTCAATTTAACGATCACTTTTGACCGATTAACGAATCCAAAGCTAACACAATTTCTTGTTTTTGGTAATCATTGAAATATTTTTCACATAATTGACAGCGATATTCATCAAGATGGAAACATTTATTCATTTTCATTGCATTATTATATTAGCAGGAAACATTAGTTAAAATTGCAACAACACTAAAAATCAAGTAAAACAATCCGCCGTATCCCGTAAAAGTCTCAACAAAAGAAACAAAGTATGTCGAGGTTGAAATTTACAAACAGCCGATCCGGGAAGGTTAATTCGTCCGATAGATAGGAATATCGAGAGAATAATAAGCCTGATATTACAGGACGTGGGACGTTTGTTTTGATTGGGCAAAAGGACAAGTCCCCGAGCAGAAGTTTCACCCTTTGGCATGGTCCCCTCGCGATTGGTATTCAGCCGGGTGGATCCCTTGGATCCGTGTTACGACGCCGGGGACATGTGTCACCGTGAACGATAGGTGGCGGTGGCGGTGGCCGGAAATAGCTGTTTAAAATTGCATCGAGGGTCCACCGTTAGAGGCACGTGCGCTTTTTAATGTCCCGGCGAATGCTTACGATAATGTCCTTTAAGCTTTTATTAACGGTTAGCGCCGGTACGTGGCCCGAATCGCCATGGCCATTCGCATGCGACATCACGAACGACCATACGGATCTCTCCACCGAGAGATCTGATAACACGTAAGACATTTATTTTTCCACGGCAGTCGCCGATTCATTTCGCGTGTAATCTTTCTTTTTCCTTTTTTTCCGGGTTTTTTCCTTACATTTTGCTGTTTTCGAATTCTGTTTGATCGAAAGCATGTTATTTATGTAAGTTTTGATTTGTAAATCTTCACTCTTGTGTAGATGATCCGAGTAGAAATTTCTTGTACAATTGTTCTTAAATAAAAATTTATTACTTTCTTTTTTTTAAATAACTGCCCAGGATCTCTATGCTTTTGTTGCTTGGTTTATGTTCTGTGGATATGTTATGTGAAAATTTATGCAAGATGTGTAATTAAGCTTCAAACTTATAATCAGAGCTGTTGGATTATTGGATTATTCGTATAGGACAAATTATAGTTAGACGAAGTGTGAAGTGGAAATTTT